AGAGAGAGAGAGAGTTTCGCGATTTTCCACGTCGACTTGTGCAGTGTGCCGCGTAATTAATCCGCGGATCGATCCGACCCTTGATGAAGCGAGTTATCGTTATGGCGATCCACGCGCCGGCAACGGCGACATTAATTGGCATTGCGTGAATAAATATACGTTCTCGAGGGCTCGATCGATCGCGCGCACCGCCTTCGGAGTCGGAAAGTAGGTCGATCTTTGGACGGTGCGCGCTTTCGCGAATTGCTGGCCGATCGCTGGCAATTGACATTGTCGTCCTACAGTCCCTTCCGATAGTGCCAAGGTAATTGATAGTGCGGGCAATTTATTCGAAACTGTGACGACTGTGACGAGATAAGCGCAATCCTCTGCGTGCTTAAACCCACCGTGCGAACCCACGCGATAACAATTTATACAAGTGACTGACTAAAAGGGACTTACGTAATCGAGCCGCGAGGTGTGTATCAAAACGAACCTCGCGATACTTTCGACTCCTTCTCGCGTATATGCTGCTTTCTAATAGAAAAATTTAAGTAATTCGCGTGATCTCACGCAGTATCTCCCGCGAGACACGCGCCTCTGTATATATTTCCACGATGCGAGTATTCGCGCGCGCGCGCGCGCGCGCGTGGATTTTTTCACGATGCATTAGAAAGCGGCGGTTTGAGGCGGACGGCGAGCAGCAACGCGCTTTGCCGCGTTTGCACGCGTGTGCACGCGCGCCACGTCGTCGGTTCCTCGCGTTGGCCGAGGCGTGTAAACGCGCGTCGTGTCACAATTATATCGTAACATCACGCGACCAGTTGCGTAACGCTACGCGCTTTTTTAGCGCGAGTTAACATTTCTAGTGGGTCACGACAATCCTCCTCCCTCCCCCCCCTCCCCTTCTCCCCCGTTGATTGAGTCGTACATCCTGTTCTTAAAAATCGACAACGCAAAATTGCGAGAAACTTATCGTGGTCGTCTCTACCTCGTTAGAGAACACTTGATATCGAATTTCTGACGTAATTAGTGCGCGCGCGCGCGCTCATGATGAATCACGTCTCTTTCTCTCTCTCTCCCGCGAGATAGGAGGACGAAAGATTGATCTGGATAACATACGCGAAGTGTAATTGCCGATTTACTCGATTTTTTGGAATTTATCCGGCTTGTTCGCGGAGAGTCGAGAACGGGGGGGGGGGATAACCGACGAAACGTTTGCAGCGTTACGCCGATAACACACTGGGCATCCCGAGACTGAGTTTATCAAGAGATCAGCGTTTTTATATTATCTCTCTCTCGTCAATTTAATGCAATTCGTTTTCTCACACGCGTCTGTCGTGTCTGAACGGCTCGCATTATACTGATACATACGTGACACTTGATAGACGCCGATCTCGCCTTACGTCAAGTTTTGACCGCGCCGATCGTCGAAGGCTGCACGATGAAGTTCCTGGTGAAGTACTACGATTTCCTGAACGTCAAGTTCTCCACGGTGAGAGATTTTCAAGCAGTGATATTCTTATTATTGCCACGCTCAGGATGGGAACGAGGCTTTTTTAGACGTGTCGCGAGAAAATCGCAAAAAAAAAAATTTTTTTCATTGGGAGATCTAACTTGCGATTTTGTGACATTAAGATCTTAAAACCTTGATAAGCAATTTTTCTCGATTTCTCGTCGATCGGAGCTCCTTTGTCGGACGCGTCAGGAAGAGGAGGAACCGACAATTTTCTCCTTGAGTCTAAATTGCGGAGATTGATCGCGGTATTATCGATAATTGCATGCGCGCGAATGCCTTATCGTGCATTCTGATAATGGACCGCTCATCCGAAATCCGACGACCTTTCAGATATGCGCATGAAAGAATGGCATTATGCGCGCATTCCGCGCGGTTTGCAGTAGCCGCAGCGGAGTAATGCATCTGCGGCTGCCGGCGCGTTATCGCGCCATTTATCATTCGCTCTCGCTCGTCTCCCGTTGCTCTCATCCCGTCGGCCGACGATAATTGGATTTCTCTGGAAACGTATCGCGTAGCTAGAAAAATTCGGCGACCTTTTTCGCGACGTTATCTCGGGACATCCTCGTGAGACACGTCGGTGTTTCCTCTCCCCCGGGACTCATTCCCTGACCCCGTTACTCTTCAAGGATCCGCACGCGAAGTAAATAAACGCGCGCATTGACACGACTCGAACTTCCACTTCATCAATTTGGAGCAAACAAAAGGGTAGAAGCTGAAGCCTTAATTTCCGTAACAACGTCCGCAGGAAGGTTGGAAACACGCATCTCCGCGACGGGACTCCGAATGCTATTCGTGTCATCGTCGGCATTCGATAAGAAACGATCGTAATTGCAGTATATGCATATTATCGAGCGCTGATTGCCTCGGCGTGAGACGCGCGAGAAATCGCAAATCGATTATGCGCGCCGTGCGACAGAGATTCGTTCGTCAACGTTCGAGCTTGTTGCTCCGTTGAGCAAGAACTCGGGAAGTTCATTACTTTGCAACTTATATATTGGTGTCAGTGCTGTGTGTGACGGCGCTTTCCGCTGGCATTGCCATCCTTAACTTTTACACGTAACACGATCGCATTACGCGACACTGTCGTCGCGTTCGCTAAAATTGTAAGACGATTCATCGGATGGTTAGTGGGTCGAATGATTTCCCTGTTAGTTTCGCAAGTGGGACTTTGCCGATGCGAATTTTTCGGCGAATTCCGCGGACGGCGACCTTTCGCACGAAACGCTCTTTACGAAAGTTTCGCGTGGCGTCGTCCCGTCGGTTTAACGTCGTTTTCACCAACGCGAATATTTTTATAGCCGTAGATGCTAATTGTAAGCTTTATCGCCTCAATCAGAAATGGGAACGGTTCGCATATATTTTATGATCGATCGCGATTGCATCTAAGGTATGCATATCAACATACCTTGATATTTTTTTTGTACGACTCGTTTCAGACGTGACATACGTTATGAATTACAGGAATGTAAGTCTATTTATTTATAAATTTTACACAAGACTTTAAACCTACCATTTGATGTTTGGAACATAACGAAGGTGCATAATTATAAAAGAAGAAAGAGAGTAATGGAAAAAAAGAACAAAGAATATTTTTCATAGACGCGTTACATTTGCATAATCGGAAAGAGTTTTGCTCTTACCGTTCGTTCGGAAACGGATAAGTATTTGCGATCTTAATCGCTCGTGCATTCGCGATGATCCGCCTCGTTTCATTCAGTATCGCGATTGCTTTCGCACCGCGAAGTTTAGCGAAGTGGCCAATTCTCCGTAACAGGATGACAAAGGGCGACGAGCGGGGCTACAAAAGCTCAATGGACTTTATCAGCGCGCCGCAGAATGCACCGACATGTCGACGTAATTTGTCAGTCGTTGCACTTGCGCCTTTATTGGCGCGTTCCTTCCTTCGTTAAAGTCGCTTGCACTCGGCGCGAGTGCGATGTCTTGAAGCTGCGCCCGTTCGATGCGAGGAAAACATTAAGCATCAAAGCAACTCGAAACGCGTTTAGCAACTCTACTCACGAAAACCCGACATTCATTTAATTTTATATTTACTTTATATTTAATTATTGCGATTCTAATTTGCGATTCTAATTGCATAAATAAACACTTCTTTTAGACTAAGCGTGCATGTTACGAAACTACGTGTCGACTCTAATTCCGTGTTATTCTAATTTGCAGGTGAGTAGGCGATCCAAAGAACACGCGACAGAAGAGAAGGGAAGGGTGAGTCAATTTGAGTTGTCATTAGAAATCGTAGTCGAGGACCAATCTCGAACAATCGCGGGGTGATACGCTATCCCGCGGGTCCCCGCGAAGTCGGGCGTTCACACAACGGCTTCCACCCACGTGGCCGGGGTACTTGTCGATGCGAGTCCGAGTTCGATCAGCATGCATGTCACGTTACATCGAACAGGAAGGGCCGTTAATAACACGGCGGAGGACAGCTCGCATCCGCCTCGCGTCGGATTGTCCGGATACGCGTTCGACCGCGGATATTTTTTTTTTTTTTGCGTTGCACTCTGTTACACGTCGTGTTCCGACGTTGTTAATCGGGATGGATGTATCTGGGGGAGGGGAGGATTTGGGGGGATTCAAATTTCCCACAAAATTAAAAAGAAATATTAAAATTAAAGTTATGATTTACAAAAGCTAATATTTAAAATCGAGGAACGAGAAAATATTTTAAATTTTAAAATATTCGAAAAAGCAATTTATTAACGCTTTAAAAAAAATTGCTGCTTATATGTGTTGACAGAATTGATAATTCCTCCTCCTCGAAAAAAATCCTGGATACTGTGTTAACGGCACCTAAAAATGCGAACGAGGAGAAACTGACTGTCGATGCTAATGCACGTACGTTATAACAACATGACGAACACGTAAATCTTGTTATTGGGGTTTATTGCGCAGGGAAGAGAGATTTCTCGCGTTTTCACAAGTCCCCTCGGGACTGACCCGACTTATTGGAGACCACTATTCTGAGCTTGCGCCGGAGCAAAAAGCATTTCAGGGTATCCTCCTTCCCTCGAGGAAATAATCAACAAGTTTTTCGTATTTCGTATTTCTCACTCTCGCGCTCCACAGTGTTGCTGCTGTTTGCTGATTACTTTTTTAAACGTTGAACAATCATAACTTTTCTTCTTACTGTGGAAGAACTCGAAGTAATCTTGCTCTCAATTTGCAACGCAGATTGCAGTAAGTAAGAAATTAATCGAAGCGCGACGGGACTACAGCGATCATTTTCATAGCAAAATTCTCCATAAAGTATACGGAAGTATAATGATTATGCAAATTTTGTGAAAATAATCACGACATTAAAGTAAAGTATGAATCGCGATAGAAACCAGGGCGAGAATGTCCGAAGATCCTCGCGGTCGCTGGCGCGTTAAACATTTATTAAGCGAAAGTGCAAAAACGGTGTTCTTAGGGTGGGTCGGTGCTGGCGCATCAAAAGGCCATGCAAATTCTTCATCAATTATGTAAGAAAGTAGGTCAGAAAAATCCACGATTAATTTCTCGTCCAGCAGATTGTACGCGCGCGTATGTGTGCGAATGACCCTGAATCGTACCGGCGAATACGCGTACTTTTAACGGCGGCATTTGGGATTCTTTCGACGAATTCATTCGACGCTAATTGAGTGGATTTCACCGAGTCGTTTGTCTTTCGGCACCAACAACCGAATGGTCACACAGTTCGCCGTTCGTCGACTGCGAGATTTCCTTGCGAAAGTCTCTCGCGCACGAGTGCAAATTCCGCATGCGACATATGTTCGATCTCGAAAGCGGACTTTCCGGACGGTATATTAAAGCGCGATCACCGACCGGCACGAAAATATCGAAATTCACCGCGCGCGTCGATCGAATCTGCAAATTGCGAACGACGCCGTGTTCGATCAGGCGTGTTTAAGCCTCGCGAGCGCGGTGTGCCTCGTTAAACCTCGTCGAAGGTGTCTCGTTAGAGGTCTCCCGACGGTGACTCGCTAATACCCACTTCCTTACTTTCTCCGCCTCTAATTGTCACGGCCGTTAAACAACGGTACGCGTAAATTTCTTTAATGCGCGATCGCGCACACGCCTCGATCCCGTCCACACGCGACGCAAGTCGCGAGCCGCTTTCACGATTAAGCAGATCTAGGCGAGAGACGATTCGGTAGGCGAGGAGCGATAACAGGAAAAACACAAACATACGCCGCTTTACTTCTCGAAACGGGCATGGGGGGGGCACTCGGGCCTCCTCGTTCAATCCGACGAGTTAATCGCCCGCTCGCACATTTGTATAACGAGATGTGTTGTCGACAGGAAGTAAGGAGGATGTAGCGGCAATCGCTATCGTCGTGGCATTATCTCGACACCGTTAATTAACGAGGGCTAATGACGCCGTGACCCGAGCCCACGTATACCTCGAATAGAGAGCAGAGTGGAAACGGGTCGCCCTCGCCCGAGAATAATTTCGCGACTGTTGGTCGCGCGAATGCAAATTAATTATTCGGCCAGAGAGTGACTTAAGCTCGGGTATGTATATTCGCGCTGCAGTTCGCTCGAAGTGCAACTATCAAGAGCTGTCGAGTCGAATGGAGACGAAATGCATTAACGCAATGCAAATAGACATTTACGCATGCGGGTATATACCGAATATTGAATTGTTATTGTTATTATTGTTGCGACTGACGTTTGAAAAGGATTGGAAATCAATGATTGAACAATCTCTCTCGGAGAGACGAATTAAAAATAGAGCTCGAAAAAAGGCAACTCATTTTTCTTTCTGTCTTTTTTTTTTTTTTCGTTCTCTTTCTTTCCATGGAACGCGCGAAAATTATTTCGTTTCGATCGTACCGATGGGATTTCTTTTCCCTCACGTTTGCGCGTGCATCGTCGAGCCGCGCTCGCGCTCGTCGACGATTTAACGAGCCCGATGCGTTTTACAAC